TTGGCGGATTTACGAAAGAAGTATTTCTGGAACACTATGAAGAAAGACATAGAATTACACATAGCTAATTGTTTGGCATTTGCTCAACATAAAGGATCAACAGGATCACCTGCCCCGATTCTACAATATCCTACACCAGACCGTCCGTTTGACACAGTCGCTATTGACTTGTTACAACTCCCAATGAGTCATCAGGGATCAGGATACGTCTTAGTGTGTGTGGATAATTTTTCCAGGTTGGTGTTCTTGGTCCCACTAAAAAGCAAAACGGCCGAAGCAGTAGCCTATGCATTAGTGATGAATCTCATATGTCCATATACTACGCCTAAAGTTCTACTCTCTGACAATGGAACAGAGTTCAAGAATGAGCTAATAGAGCATATATGTGCAAAATATGGAATTAAACAAACTTTTGTGACAGCTTATCATCCACAGGCTAATAGCCTTGTTGAAAGAACCAATCGTAAAATCCTAGAAATACTGCGACCAATTGTCAGTGGTTTTCAATACGCATGGGAGGATTGGTTACAGCAGATTGCAGCGTCGATAAATGGGTCAGTTAATAGCTCTACGGGCAAAACACCCTACTATATTGTCTATGGTACAGATAAACGTCTGCCTTACGACATCCTTACAGAGGCGCCATACCCGGTATATAATACGGATGATTTTGGAGCAAAACAAATTCATGTCTTTACAGAAATTCATAACCAAGTACGATCACAGCTAGCGGCGTCATGCGCCGAAATGATCATCAAGCAACATAAACATGCTAAACCTGTCGCATTAAACGTTGGGGACGCTGTTATGTTAAGAGAACCTGAAAGGAACTCCAAACTTTCGGCAAAATTTTCTGGTCCATTCCGCATAATCTCAAAAGAAGCAGGCAACAAATTCAAAATTTGGAAGCCTAATGCACAGATCGCAGATGTCGTGCACGCGGATCGTCTGAAGAAGACCCAGATAAATGTACCTCCAGTTGATGATGACGTGATTGATACATCCTTACAGACTGTTCAGAAGCAAAATGTCCCAAATGACTATTGTATGAAACTACGTTCTGCGAGTAGAAGTTAACTCGTACTTTCGCGTCAGATGGAAAACGTCGACGGCCAACTACAATCAGCATTGGACATCCTTCATGGTCTCAGCACAGCTTCGATGAATTCGACAATAGTTTCACGAACGTTGTCGTTCAGGCTGTATCTCATCAGAATCGTGTTATTTCTCAAACCTTTCACGCGATTACTGCTCTAGCATCAAAGGTTAATGCAATCATAATGGAGTCTAACCAAGTTTCGAGGATTGTTACTAGGTTACAGAAAGCAATCCCGACGTTAGAATGGCTCCTTTATTTCACAGAATATTTGCATGCTGCGGAAATTTCAGTTCATAAAATTGTAACCTCTAAAAATGAACTAATAGACAGCATTGTAGATGCCGGGATAGGACGTGTGGACGCGAAGCTTGTGCCTGTGCAGACGCTTCTTGAAGCTTTAAAAATAGCCAAGTTGCAGTATCATTTAACTCCGATTTTCAATGACAATGAGGTTCAATATTATTACCCACTGTTGGAGTCAACCCTCACGCACAATGCAATTCTGATCCACATTCCTATGCGAGGGCAACATGAGTTTAATGCATGGCATTTAGAACCCTTCCCCTGGTTTGTGAACGACACACTGTATACCCTAGATAGGCCTAAAGAACTTTTCTTAGTAGATGAAGAATATTCGTTGCTATCAATAGAGGATTCTGAGGTACTGTCACGGTGTAAGTCGTCTTATCTACACCTACACGTATGTCCAGCCTACATGTTTGCATTTATTCCTGCTGCAGAGGGAATATGTGAATTGGCAGTCATACAACCAAATGTACGCACAGCGTTAGTGCAATGCAGTTATAGGCCAGTTGGTCTAAAGACTGTGTTCCATGCTCACCTTCACAATGTGCAGTATTTGTTCTTTCCAAATCTCACTACTGTAATTTTAAAATGCCAAAATGGTGTTAAGCAGCTAGTTGTGAAAGGGCATTACAAGGCTCCGGATTACTGTGAAATCACTTGTAGTACGTTACGGACCTTGCTTACTCATCAGCATTTTGCGTTAAATCGAAAATTCAAGTCTGCTTTAATTCCACTTCCTATAATGAATTTTACTATCAAGGATATTCAAATAGTATCAGAGAAATTAAAAGTTTTAGCTTTCTTGAACGAGACACATTTTGCTGATTTGAATAATAACTTGCCATTTTACCTGTCACGGGAATTTGCACTACCAAGTCTTACAATTCCCTCTATTTTGTTAATACTGGCAATTATGTTCCTGTTCTGTTATTTTAGGGCAGTATCACCCAAATTCAACATTGTTCATAACATACTAAGCCGTACGACACTAAAGTCTAGGTCCCCTGTAGTAGCAAACAACCCTACAGTAATAGATTCCCCAGCTTAGTGTCTACATATCTGTTTATAACATGGTTAGGGTTGTCTAGGATGTACTGTACTCTGTGAGTTATTTACGCCTCACGGAGCTCGGCTGGTAGGTGACCGAGCGATGTAATAGGCCCCTGTCTCATCAACAGAACATATTATATAAATGGGTCAATACATCTGAGATTATATTCAGATTCACCCCCTGTAACTTTCCACTGTCTATGAGTAAGACATGAGTCGGACACGTGAGCGGGCAACTCTCCCAAGAGGGCGAGACCCATAGCTCAGCATTTCTGTAAACCCGCACTGCGAGGCCGTCACAGTCAGTCGCTCACATCAACTTATATCGTAAGGACGTGACCTAACGTTTATAATACATAAACGCCGTCCCCTTCTCATTCACTCCTAGACAGTGAGACTTACGGTTGATATACACTCAGGAATTATATATACAACCTTTTATAATAAAACAAAGGAACTACCGTTTGGGTTTCGTTACTTAAAACCAAAATATAAATATATGTGAACGGACTGGTTAATTGGACAAGCAGCCGATTCATGGCCGTGCTCTCGTTCTGTCGTAATGGACCTTCGAATCTTGTTTACTTCACTGGTATCCACCTCACCTGTTGCGTTCTGAACTATTATGTGGTCAGTGAGGGCTGCCGTGAGCTTAACTGAGTTTTGATGTTCGGTAGCAGCAATCTCCTATGGATTGGTCAATCTCATTCCTCCCAGTGTCGGTGGTAGTGCAAGGAGTGATCTTTCTGCTGGGGTTAAGTGATGGTGTTTCACTGTTTTTGGAATGAAATTGACGCTGATAGCTTCTTCCAGAGGGTGGAAGAGGGGTCCGATATCAGGCATAGTGCGCAACAGGTAGTTCTTGCGATGCTTGACTCTATGGGTGAATGCCTCCAGCCTCCCCCAGTAGCCACACCTTCGCCGCCATTTTATTACCTTAAAATTAAATATCCTAATACATAAGTAGCTATCCTAGCTGTGTTCAGATAGTTGACTAACAGATCTATGTGGCATTCAGTGACTGTTGCCTCGTAGTCAATATCTGCAACTGTTATAGGCTTTGGGGCCGATGCTCTCGTTCCCCTGAGGCAGAACAAAGCAGACCTAAGGAGAGAGAAGGACAGTCGACATCTCATCCACGCTGAAATATAACTTCTGGGCTGCTGTTTCTGTTCGGATAGCACCTCCGCGATTCTGGCGTAGAAGAATCTCGTACTTGGTCCCATCCCACCAGAGGTTGTGAACACCAGAGGAGTGAAGCTGCCTTGATCAACGTTCTGAATTTTATCCCCAAATGCCCTTATCTTGTCGTTCTCGTTCCTCCTGTGTGCAGCATCGCGAGCTAAGTTACGGTGACATGCGGCCATGGGATAAAAAATCCTGATGTCGAAGAAGGCTCACTGTCCCCGTGTCCAGAATCCTCGAGCACTGACATCAACACGGGCTTCGTTGGATGTGCTTGAAGTTCTATTTTGGAAATTCTCACCGTCCAAGGGAAGGAGGGTCGGTTCTACCCTGACATCATGCCATATTTCCTTCAACATATTTGCAGTGAGATCCCTTACTTCGTCATGCCTCATGCAATGAAGCCCTCTCTCTTGCACTTTATTGCACACCATGACATGATTGACGTCATAGGAAGAGCCACACACTCATTGAGAGGGCAAACCTTCTACTGGACTACCATACCTTAGAGCAATGGCATCTGTAAATTTTTGTTTGTTAAGACTGAAACCATTTGCCCTTATCGGTTTATTATTACTACTGCTACGAATAATTAAAATAATAATAATAATAATTATAATAATAATAATAATAATAATAATAATAATAATAATAATAATAATTTAAAATAAAATAAATAAATAAAATAAAATTATATTAAATTAAATTAAAATGACACCAAAAGATGAAGAACAAGATAAAAAATAAAATTAGATATAACATGGGAATTATTATAGGCGGTAGCACCTGGCACTAATTTCTAGGAACACTCGAAGTTACATAAGCCGGTGATTCTTGGTCTATCAGATGCTGGCTGGAAACATTACTGTGTGTATGTGGGTGTGTGTGGTTGAGACCGGAATAATCGCTGATTAAGCTTTAATTTGAGACGTTGTTTACAGCTTAGGAAGGTTAGGTTAGGTTAGTTTAGGTTAGGTTAGGTTAGATTTTAAATGAAACTATTATTTTATATGTATTATAACGATCTACATGATCGTCTATAGCCAGTCAGAAACTAACAAAAATATCAGCCACATTTTATTATTATAATTCATTATTATTATTATTATTATTATTATTATTATTATTATTATTATTATTATTATTATTATTATTATTATTATTATTATTATTTCCACCATCATCGTTATCATTACTATCTTCACCATTCCATCCTCACAACCACACCCTCACCACACGACATCAATCATCACTCCCTCATAACACCACAGCAATCATCACGCCCTCACCACACCACAGCAATCAGCACACTCTCACCACACTCACAGCCACAGTCTCACCAGAGCCTCGTCTCCCACAGTGAGTCTGGATGTGGGTGCTGGGACACAGACGCCGTCACGCCGGAGGTCGAGTGTAGCTGCTGGGGCTCACCGCTGACACAAGTACCATCAGACTTCTCCAAGGGTGTCTTCAGGATGTGAGTACCTCTACTGTATGAGTTTATTTAAGAGAGAGAGAGAGAGAGAGAGAGAGAGAGAGAGAGAGAGAGAGAGAGTAGGGGTATGTTTAAGATGTAAGTACAACTGAGAGTGAAAGAGAACAGACATGCAGACAAACAAGTAAACTAAGAAGCGAACGAAAGATAAAATATACAAATATACAAATAAGAGCAATATAAAAAGGAGAACAGGAGAGACGAGCAAGACAGAAATAAATTAAGAATGAAGGAAATTGAGATAAAACAAGGAAATAATACTCTAAATGTAAAGAGCAAATGTTACGAACACAAGAACGTGGAAATATTTGACAATGATTATCACGTGTTATAACTTATGGTCTTATGTGCCGTGCGACGTGTGATGAGAATAGAAGGTAACGCTAGTGGAGAAGGGGGAGTGGCTGAATAATTAAGTCTCAGTCCTAATTGGTCCCGCTCCATGTCCAGTAGGTAGTGTACCATTTCTCAGATGTCCCAGACCGATTGGGTCCCAGGTTTAATGTGTCCCACTCCAAAAAAGGCAACAGTCCTAATGGGACTTCATTCTAATGGGCTTACTGTAAGTCTTATGGTACCCAGTGCTATTGGGCACCAGTCTTAAGATGTTCCAGTCCTAATGGGCCCTAGTTTTAATTGACCTCGGTGCTAAAGTGTCTCTGCTCTAATGTGCCCTAGTCATAATGTGCCCAATCATAATGAGCCCTAGCCTTAACGGGCCCCAGTCTTAACGGGCACTATTCCTAATGGGCCCTTTTCCTTAGTGCTAATGGGCCCTTGGTCCATCACGGGGTCACAGAGTCACCCGCTACAGGATATTAATAGTTAATGCTACTCTAGTACATACTTCTGTCTATCTGTGTCTCTGTCTATCTCATGTTTGTCTGTGTGTCTCTGTGTCTTCCTGTGTTTTTCCCACTTTGTTTTTAATCGATTTTTTCTCTATTTATTTCTCTTTGTATCTGTTTCTTTTCCTCTCTCTTTCTCTATATATTGATGTAGTCAAATTTACATATTTTTCTTAACCATTCTACTTATCTTTCTCTCTCTGTTTCTGTCCCCATCTTCCTCTCACTTTCCTTTTCTTATGCTCCCTTCCTTTTCGTTCTCACTCTCTTTCTTCCTTTCTCCCCCTCTCTCTCTTTATCATTCTCCTTCTCTCGTTCTATTATCTCCTTTTCTCTTTCTCTCTCTTTTTCTCGCTTTCTCCTTTACTCTCTCTATCTCTCTCTCCGTTTGTCCCTCTGTGTCTGTCTGTCTGTCTGTCTCCCTCAAGACGATGTAGAAAATAGAAGAAAAAAATTATCTCACTTACACTAAGGGAGTTACTAAACTCTGGGAAATTCTTTTACATGCGTCTACAGTATTCATTCCTCCCATGTACGCGTGTGTGTGTGTGTGTGTGTGTGTGTGTGTGTGTGTGTGTGTGTCAAGGCTAGAGGAAGCGAGTCATCAGCCAATCACTGTCTGACGGGGAAGCTGCTGAGAATCACGACAGTGGCTCAAGTGACGCTCTAGTGTGTCTGTCTGTCTGCCATATACAGTATGTCTGTTTATCCTGTTTGTCATGAATACTTATCTGGCATGTAGGTGTGTCATGTATGTTTGCTAGTCATGCATTTTTGTCATAATCGTATGTGTCTGTGATAAGCATAGATTTATATTACACTTTTTTTTATCCATCTGTCATATATATATATATATATATATATATATATATATATATATATATATATATATATATATATATATATATATATATATATATATATATATATATATATATATATATATATATATATATATACAAACAATATAGTAAAAATATGTAAAGTACTCAGTATAGGAGATGTAAACAGGGAAACCAGTTACCAGATGAACAACGATGCCATTGTGGAATCCAACTGCGAGAGAGATTTAGGAGTAATGAAAAGTACGAATCTTAAGCCAAGTAAACAATGTGTTTTTGCTCGAAACAAGGCTAATAAAGTACTTGGGTTCATACAAAGGAGTGTTAGTTACAAGACTAGCGAGGTCATCTTAAAATTATATCTAGTGCTGTGAGACCTCACCTGGATTTCGCTGTTCAGTTCTGGTCACTGTATTACAGAATGGATATAGAATCATTGGAAAGAATCCAGAGGAGAATGACAAGACTAATCCCAGGCATTAGGAACCTTGAATACAGAGACAGGTTAAAGCATCTTAATTTGCACTCCCTCGAGAGACGTAGAGTGAGGGGCGACATGATAGAGGTGTATAAATGAAATTCAGGGTTAAACAAAGGGGACATTACAAAGGTACTCAAACTATCCAACCAGGAGCGAACCAGTAACAATGGTTTTAAATTAGACAAATTTAGATTTAGGCGTGAAATAGGTAAACACTGGTTTGGAAACAGAGTAGTGGACGAATGGAACAAGTTACCAAATATCATCATTAACTCGAATACGCTGAATTGCTTCAAACATAGGTTGGATGCTCATATGAGCAATAGGGGTTGGGTGTAAACGGGACTGCCCAGTATGGGCCAATAGGCCCGCTGCAGTTTCCTCCATTCTTATGTTCTTATGTTCTTATTTCTCTATACTCAAGGTTCCTAATGATATACAAGTAACATAAGTGATACAAATATGATGTATAATAATTAGGTGTTGATAATTTTTACAATGGTTGGGACTGGGCTGTTCTTATAGCAATCAGTTCGTGCTCGTATGGGCTGGATGCGGTTGGGCAGGTGTGTGGCCACGTGGTCAGGACAGTAGCGTGGGGCAATGCAGGTGTGCTCCATCCTTCAGCTTAGATCAGGTGAAGCCGTGAGGTCAGGTCAGGTTAGGTCAGATCCAGCCACACTCAGTATTGCTGTGTTTTTGTGCTTTTCCTTCGAGTTGAAATTGCCACTTTTGTATATCACTTGTGGGTTGATCGTCGATCTTTGCACTGTACTGTTGGTGTGAGGATGTTGATAAATCCTGATGGGAATGAGAAGATGGGGGAGGGGAGGGCCCGACAGACCGGGCAAGCAGCTGTCTCCATGGTCAAGAGACCACGGCTGCGTTAGCGAGCAGCGCCGACTACACACGTCCTTACCCTACATGTGTGTGTGTGTGTGTGTGTGTGTGTGTGCGTGTGTGTGTGGGTGTGTGTGTTTTCCTTAGGACAGTGAGGTCTCTCTATATCTGCTTGTGTGTCTCTGTCTACCTCCTTAACACAGAAAGGTTTATAGAGCCATCAAACGTTTTGAGATGGGAATATAGTTTGCCTGTCTATCTGATTCTATGTTTGCGTTTATCTTTGTTTGTGTCTTTGTCTTTGTATTTTATTCTCTTTGATTATGTCTCTTTCTTTTGCGACAATCTCTCCTTGTCTCTGTGTTTATTTTTCTTTCTCTTGGATTGAGTGGGGAGTCCTGAGCCATCAATTGTTATGAGATGGGGATAGAATCTCCCTCTCTGTCCCTCTCCCTTCTTCCTCTTTCATTTTATTAATTTCTTTTTGTTTCCCTTCTCCCTCTCTATAACGCCAAGTGTTTTTTTTCTCACACACCCCCTTCTATTTCCCATTGCACAGAGATAGAAAAATATTATGCTCTTCCTAACCTAACCTTACCTAACCTAACCTAACTTATCTTTTTTTTTACTTTACCTAACCTAAACCTAAGCTAAACTAAATTAACCCTACCTACCTTAACCAAACATCAGCAGGGCGTGCCAGGGTGATTAACCCCACGTCTAACATCAAAAGTAGGCAAATTACGAGAATCAATTATTTCAAACTCTATTCGAAACCACCTGGAGAAGCACAAGTTGATCAATGATTCCCAACATGGCTTCACAAGCGGGCATTCATGTCTAACTAATCTATTAACATTCTTTCAGCAGTTTTCGAATCGGTGGGTGAGGGGCACAATTATAAGAACATAGGAATGTAGGAAACTGCAGCGGGCCTATTGGCCCATACTGGGCAGTCCCGTTTACACCCAACCCCTATTGCTCATATAAGCATCCAACCTATGTATTCGAGTTAATGATGATATTTGGTAACTTGTTCCATACATCCACTACTCTGTTTTCAAACAAGTGTTTACCTATTTCACTCCTATATCTAAATTTGTCTAATTTAAAACCATTGTTACGAGTCCGCTCCTGATTGGATAGTTTGAGTACCTTTGTAATGTCCCCTTTTTTAGCCCTGACTTCCACTTGTACTCCTCTAACAGGTCGCCCCTTGCTCTACGTCTCTCAAGGGAGTGCAAATTAAGATGCTTTAACCTGTCTCTATACTCAAGGTTCCTAATGCCCGGGATTAGTCTTGTCATTCTCCTCTGAATTCTTTCCAATGATTCTATATCCATCCTGTAATTCTGTGACCAGAACTGAACTGCGTAATCCAGGTGTGGTATCACAAGCGCAAAATACAGTTTTAGGATGACCTCGCTAGTCTTGTAACTAACACTCCTTTGTATGAACCCAAGTACTTTATTAGCCTTGTTACGAGCAAAAACACATTGTTTACTTGGCTTAAGATTCCTACTTATCATTACTCTTAAATCTCTCTCACAGTCGGATTCCACAATGGCATAGCTGTTCATCTGGTAACTGGTTTCCCTGTTTACATCTCCTATACTGAGTACTTTACATTTGTCCACAATGAATTTCATCTGCCATTTTTCCGACCATTCGAAATTTTTTTTTTAGATCTTCCTGTAGTTTTGCAGAGTCCTCGTCAGATTTAATAACATGTCCTATTTTAGTGTCATCAGCAAATTTTCTTATGTTGCTGTCTATACCGATATCTATGTCGTTTATGTATATAATAGATAATAATGGTTCAAGTACTGAGCCTTGGGGAACTTCACTTGTGACGTTGCTCCAATGGGACTTAGTGCCCTAATCCATTTAAGGATGTTACCTCTGATGCCATGTGCTTCTACCTTTCTAATTAGTCTTTCGTGGGCGACTCTGTCGAAGGCTTTGCTAAAG